AAAGAAACCTTTACTTGTGGCCAGGTGTGGTGGCTCACACCTGTAATCCCAGCAGTTTGGGAGGCCAAGGCAGGCAGATCACCTGAGGTTAGAAGTTCAAGACCAGCCTGGCCAACATGGAGAAACCCCATCTCTACTAAAAATACAAGAATTAGCCAGGCATGACGGTGCACACCTGTAATCGCAGCTACTCAGAATGCTGAGACACGAGAATTGCTTGAACCCGGGAAGCGGAGGTTGCAGTAAGCTGAGATCGCACCACTTCACTCCAGCCTGGATGACACAGCAAGACCCTGTCTCAAAAAAACCAAAAAACCTGTGCTTGTATTCCCCAAATATACAAAAAGTTACAAAATAATAATAACAATAATAATAATAAGGACATTAAAGAATACATACTCAGAAGCTGCTCATCTCTCTGTTTTCTTCTAGGCTGCACATATGTAGCATTAAATGAATCTGTGATAAGTAAGGAGGGCCTGCTTAGCATTTCCAGGGAACATCCATTTAAATGGCTATAAGAAAGTTTAAGAACAGGAATATTTAATATCATTTCAAGTAAACAATAATAGCTTCTCTTACTTAAAAAACAAGCAGCTTCATTTATAAGGTGTTCCATTCACTAACTGTAAATTAGACATGCTTATTGATAAGAAATCTAGCAAGATTTCTTATACTTCAGAAAAAGTATAAAGAAGAAAATAAAAATCTTTCAGAGTACCATTACTCAGAGATAACTGATACAATATTTTGGTGTACACCCTTCTAAGCATATGTTTTTCTATGCACGTATATATTTTTAATTTTTCTTTTCGCCCTGCCTTATGGTACTAACATACATATGTATTTTACAAAGCTGGTATCCCATATACATTCCTATATACTCATTTCTATATCCTGGTTTTTACCCATGACACAAAAATTTTTTTCTAAACTAAATGTTTAACAATTACAAAAACATTTTATTGTGTCTACACTGTATTTATTTGATCCTTTCCCTTTACTGATATTTAGGTCATTTATTTTTGCCATTATAATCTTTCAAAGCACATTTTTAGAAAAAGCTTCAATTACATTTCTGATTATTTCTTTAGGTCACACTCCTAGAAATGTATAGACTACAATACATAGTACCGCTAAAAGGCTTTCCAGAAAGATTTAATCTTTTCCAGAGAAGTTCAACCAAAAAGACTAACCAACTCTACATACTTCCCTGAAGAAACTCACTATTTAAAAATAATTTTGGCCTAGTGCAGTGGCTCATGCCTGTAATCCCAACACTTTGGAGGACAGAGGTGGGCAGATCATTTGAGCCCAGTAGTTCAAGACCAACCTGGGCAACATGGTGAAACCTCATCTCACACAAAATAGCCAGGCATGGTAGAGCACACCTATGGTCCTGGTTACTCGGGAGGCCAAGGTGGGAGGATCGCTTGAAGCTGGGAGGTTGAGACTACAGTGAGCAGTGATTGTGCCTCCAGCCTCAGCGACAGAGTGAGACTCTGTCTCAAAAAAATAAATAAATAAAAATATCAATAAGAATAGTAATTTTAATGATATCTAATTAAAAAGATCATTTACATTTTCTCTTTTTTGACTTTATAACTTTTGTCTATCTTGCAACTGGTATATTTTTTATTTTTTATTAATCTTTTTCCTTTTTTTTTTTTTTTTTTTTTTTTTTTTTTTTTTTTTT